AGATCCATGTTTGGATTTTAACTCACCCACATGCTGTGTGACCGTGGGCACATGACTTAGTTTTTCTAAGCCTCAATTTCCTCATCTGTATTACAATTGTATTTGTAGATTATAATAATGCAAAATGGATAGGTTTGTTGTGAGAATTAAATAAAGCAAAGTAGGTAAAGTACTTAGGATAGAACCTGGCATGTGGCAAACATTAAAAATGCATTTCTTTTCATGATCACTATTTTATTAGAATGATAGGATCATAGTATTTGAATACAACTTAGATGTCATTGACATTAGCATGCGTTTTTAAAATCATTGATGGAAGATGGGCTAGTCAGCTGCTAAAACAATGTTCTTAATATGTAGTGCATGACTTCTGAAATGGTACGATAAACTTGTGTGAACAGTGTTCCCAGTGTCCATCAGATGCTCAGTGGAGTTCACCCCCAACCAAGTGTTGAGCATCAATTCTATGAAATCTCCACTGATTCTGATTTTACAATTTCAAATGCCTTGCTTAAATCAAGATACATCCATGCTATCCAGAAAAAGAAATGAAGTTAGCTTGGCCTGAGCTTTTGCAGATTGCCTGTTCCTTTCCCTAATGGCCCTGGGTGTAATTTCTCAGTGTTTGGAGGCTCCTCTGCCTTAGAGGGCAGCTGTGTGACTACTGCTGTGTAGGGCATTGCCTCATAGCATCTTCCAGCATGGGCTGTCTTGAGGCAGGAAAGCATGCAGACAGCATGCTGGATAACTGGGGCAAGAGTGTCTGGTAATAAACAGGAAGCAGAAACTGATGCATTCTCAGGAAGAGGTGACATTAGAGAGGAGTAGATGATTGTAAGAAACATCCCAGTGAGGGTTGGATAATGGTGGTTCAATTTTAAATTGGCACAACACCAAAGATGGAAAGTAAGAAAGCATTTTAGGGAGGGGTAGGTATAGGAGTAGTAGGTGCAGACAAGGCTTGGAAGATTCTACCAGCGGTCCACCCACTTATGTGAAATGGAGCTGGAAGGAAAGAAGATGCAGTGAGCTAGGTAAAGTATGTGATTGATGCCACTTATGATGACAGTGAGTGGACAGATGTGTAGACTTGGCCTTATTTGCTTTAGAGGGAGATAGGATGGCTGTCAGGTTGCTAGATGAAGGTTACATATATGTGGAGAGAATTAGCAGAGATGGAGATAGTCACATGGCAGAGTCTTTCATTTGACATCAATTTTTTTGTTCTCCAAATATATACTAAGCTTGAATTAGGTGCACTAGTTACTCTGCATCTGAAGTGGGGAACGAAGAAGACCCCATCATGAAGGAACTCATATTCCAGTTGGGGAATACAAACAAATAAACAGTGTCATTCTGTTTGATAGGGCAGATATTTCTGTTTTCTAGCTGATATCAGACATTACCTGATTTGCATCCCCAAGTAGGAGTGTTTTTCTTGTTCCCCATTCTCTCAAGATAGCTGCTAAAGCTCTTTAATATTTTCATGAACATGTTTTTGCAAGCTTGGACCTTCCTTTATTGCTTTCCATTGAAGCCACTCTTTCAGACCTGTGTGGACTCCTTTAAAAAAAATTCTAAGCTTATTTTTTAACAAAACTAGAAAAAAAAACACTCTTCTTTAGATGTCTCCACCTTCACTTCCACTTGAAAACATAAGTGATTATGTTGCCAGAATTTTGTTTTTTTTTTAATAGTCTCTCATTTATCCCCTTTGGAGCTTCTTTCCTTTGAGAACGTCAACCCAGGAAATTATAGTCAAGTCTTTAGGCATTTTGTTAAGGCTCACACTCATTGTTATTCACGTTTAAACCCTCAATTGAAATATTCTTGTTCCTCCTTGTCTTTGCAGAGTGCTTTATGTTTTCTTGAGTTTTATTATTTTTGTGACATCTTAGGTAAGGCATTTTACAAAAGAAGAACTTGAGATCTAAGATACAGACTTGGCTTTGTTTCCTGGGCAACAGCATCATGGATTGTTAGGAGATATTAATGAATAGCATCAATGACCTGGCCCAATTTCTGGTCATCTGTGTTTGTAAATAGCCACTTCTCTTTGATGCTTTGAAGGATAGTGTTATGAGAACTGCATATGTATAAGTTCAGCTATGGATATGAATAAAGAAAAATGAAGGGCCTATTGAAATAATATTAGTATTGGTGATAGAAGTCAAGCAGGCAAGCTGGCAGGATCCATAGTGAGAACTATTGTTTCTCAAGTAAATATGCACAACTAAGTAATTAATAACACACTCTCATAATTGCTTCCCAAATGGCCAAGGCATTTGGTTTTCTAAAACAGGATTCTGAGAGCTCTGATATATGTGTTCCATGACATATATTTGCTCATATTTCCCTCTCTCCCTGCCTTGTCTTTGAACTTCTGTACACAGAAAATTGTTTCATTTATTCTCTTTGTCTCTCTGTTTTTGGTGTTTGATTTGTAGCTTCTTCTCATCTCTTTGCCACTTTACATGCCTGTTCCCCCACTTTGGAGTTTAAAATTCTCTTTGTCTTTTTGCTGGGTCAGACTTCCATCCTTGTGCAACCACGTGTCTCTTCAGCAAAAGCCCTCAGATTTCTACAGAGATAGGAGTCCTATCAGATCCAGTAAGGAATCACTGGAACCTTGTGGGCCTTGAGGTTTGAAATGACTTCGAACTTTTCAGGGATCAATTTTTATGTATGACTTGCCAAAAGGTTTTTATTTCTAAGAGGGGGAAGGCATTTCTCCACAAAAGCTCAAAAGACTGGGACATCAAATAACTCTTACAAAACAACATTTTGATGAGTTAAGTGTAAATGAATCAGAAACATATGGATTGAATTTCCCTTAAAATACACATGGGTTTAAAAATTAAGGGGAAAAGTGCTTGGCAAAGTTCTCTTTGGGTTTGGCCAAGTCTGATTCCTTTGAAAACTAGTTCAAGACATGATGCCAATCTCAAAATGCTTCTGGGTTCACACATCTCTGGTTCAAAGTGCTCTCTTCTCAGAATTGTCTATTTTCCCCCTCTTTGTTCACTGTTGTCAGGACTGTGTTCCTTTAATAATCCCAATCAGAGTGACATCTAAGAACAGAAAGTTTATGTGAAAATCTTCTCCTATTCAGGGACTGGTAATTACCAGACCTTTGTGGAGTGCATTAAATAGGCCCATTAAGATTCATTGACTTCCCAATCATTTATTGAAAATGTATTATGACCAGGCACCTAAATAGCAAAAATGAGTCAAGTATGGTCTCCCTACTTAGGAGATTCATAGTCTTCGGGTAAATCAGACATATATTACGATAGAAGGCAATGAGAGATAGATGAATGTCATATGGGCCAGAGTCCTGGCGGGCCACAGAATTTACTCCAGATGGTTCATCTAGCTCTTTCTCCTTAGTGGCTTTCTATTTCACAGGCTTATGAATTTAACGATGAGTCTGCTTGCAGAGATGCAGATAGGGTTAAGGAAAAATTAAAGCAAAAGACTATAGCAACAGTGGGTAACCACTGTCACTCTAGGGCTAAACGAATAATGGTAAAATGGAGTTATTAGAGCCCAGGGAGAACTGGAACCACAAAGAGAGGCCACAATTTGGGACCTGTGGCCGTGGATGGATGCAGCTACTCTCAGAGACACAGCATTAGAGCAGGAAGGGAACAGGAAAGAACTTAAAGGGAAAATCTGTGATGCAGTCAGTGGCATTGAGCAGGGCATAGAATTGGCCAGGAGATGGCCAACAGAGAAACTCAGGTTGATCCTCACTGGCATTGGCATGCAGTTGAAGGAGAAATCATTTCTGCCTTTGTGACTGAGGATGGCAGTGTAGATAGAGCTCAAGATGCCTTAACTGCACTTTGAAGAATGGGCTATCAATTTGTTAAGTGAATTTTGGGAGAGCAGAAGCATTTTAGGTGCAAGGTATGACATAAGAGAATACAAAGCACAAAGCATGTTGGAGAAAGGTAACTAGTCCATATTTACAAAAGGACTAGTTTGATGAAACTTGAAATTATAAAAGGAAGATAGTGGAAAGGAGCCCCAGAAGAAATTTAAATGAATGCTAAGATTGTACTTTATTCGCTAGATGAAGTGGAACCACTGATAACTTTTGAGCAGAGGTGCAACTAAACCAGCATAGTGTTTGGGGAATGTTAGTCTGGTAGCTTGTGTAAAATAGATTGAAAAAGGGGAAGTTTGGGGATCAGGCAACTAGAAGGCACTTTTTATAGTTCAGATACTAAATGCTAAAGGCTAGATGAAGATGGGAATATAAAAAGAAGACCAGATTCCCTTTTGCTTTACACATCAGAATTTTTCAATTTTAAATAAGGCATGTCTTCCCTGTATTTGAGGCCCTAGAGTAAATTTCTTTGTCCTTTTAAATCAGCTAATACACATAGAAAACTTAGAAGAGGGCCTGGAAATTTAGAAGCACTCAATGGATATTTATTATTATTGTAAAGATTCTTATTAAACATTAAAATCTGTTCTGTAATTTATTTTAAAGGATCATTCTCCCCTAGCAGCCCCAAATTTTGGTAGAACTTTGAAACTAAACATTAGAATTTTTATAAGAATAATAGATGCTATATTTAAAAATCAAGCAATACTAAGAGGTGTACACTAGAATACAGCAGTCGCTGGCCCAGTCCTTCCTCACATCCCAGTTGTATCTTTCCATTGGAAACCATTTTTAACTCTTATCAGTTCCTTCAAAATATTATCCCTATACAAGTTGATGTCCTGATTAATCTACTTTGCACAATATTTATTAATTTCTTGATGATCAATGACATTTTAATTGTGTTAAATCATATCAGTAATTGTATTATCATGATTTGTAAATATTGTTTACTGCTGAGCCAAATAGTGTACCAGAATTTCATGTTTTTCTTATAAAGCACTTTGTTTTTCCTGGAGTTTCTAACTGGGTCAGTTTTTGCTTGCATAATTTCCCAGCCACAAAATTTTAATCATTTTCAAATGTTCATCATGTAATTGTTCTATCGAATTTCTGTTTCTCTTACGATCTGCCTTTCAGTATCTCAGTCCTCCTTCTCCAATTGGACGGGGTTTTATCCTAAGAATTCAGTTTTGATTTTTCTGGGAAGGATTCTTTGCTTTCTTTTTCTGAAATTAATCCCTGTCCCCACCCTTTCTCTCTTATTTTACTGCTAGAGCACTAGGACCAAAGTCCCAGCATTAGGACAAGTCCTAATGGGCTACCAAGAAGAGAACATGGTAAGTTAATTTTCTGCTTATTTGCATTTATTTCTTCTATTCTACGTTTGGCTAATAGCTTCATTGACTTCAGAATATTTAGTAACTTCCCTTTCCCTCTGAATTTTGAAGACTGTTGCTGATGAGAAGTCTGATGTCATTTTATTCTTGAACTTTTGCACTAAATCTGATTTTATTTTTTTCCTCTGGAAGCTTCTCAGGTATTCCTTTTTAGCATCCATGTTCTGAAATTTCACAGTGATGCACTTTGTTGTAGGTGTTTATTAATTCCTGATCCCAGGCAGTCAATGAGTCTTTTTCAATCTAGACATTTTGTATCCTTCAATTCCATGACATTTTCCTGTGATAATTTTCTTCTCTTTATTTTTCCATTCTTTCATTCTGGGATTAATATTAATTGGATATTAGACTACCTTCATTAATCTTTTAAATATTCCACCTCTTAGATTTTCCTGTATTTTTATTTTTTGGAAATTTCTTTTACTTTATCTGACTTTACCTTTCAACTTCCTTTTAAAAATAGTATTTAAAATTTTGAGAGTGGTTTCTTGTTTCTTTGAATTTTTCCTTTCTCAAAGTATTTTTCTCTTGTGTAAGAGAGAAAAAAAATTCTCATATCTCTTTGATAATTACGTTAAAATCTTTTACAAAGCTTTTTTCTGTCCCTTGATTTATTTGTTCTTCTATGTTTGCCCCCCTCTTTCATTTACTATGTTGCATCTCCTCTGTTTTTTTTTTTTTCAATATAGGAGACTTTTCTTAAGTGTTAGCTGATCCATTCATATTTAAGACTAAGACATTTTACATTGTAGCCTATCTGTATAGTGGCATACACCTCAGATATAAAAAAATATTTATATATACTACTCATACAGAGAACACCATCAATGAATCTCAATAACATTATGCTAAGTGAAAGAATAAAAAATATATACCATACAATTCCAGTTATGGGAAATTTTTGAAAAACAAAACTCTAGTGACAAAAGCAGATTAATAGTTGCCAGAAGCCGGGGACTAGAGGAAAAATTTGACTGCAAAGGGACATGAGGGAAATTTTGGGGTAATGAAAATGTTCTGTATTTTTATTGTGGTGGTAGTTATATGATCATATACATTGGTCAAAACTCATTACATTTTACATATAAAATTGATGAATTTTATTGTATGTGATCCCTCAATAAAACTGATTTAAAAAGAAATACATTGAATTATTTGGGGCTGGAGATTGTTGAATTGTGGTCTTTTAAGTGTACTTACCTTATGGGAAGCCATCCATTTCATTGGGTGTATCCTACAAATGGCAGTATGTGGAGTTCTTGTCTTCATAGCTATTGAGTATTTTCAGAGCAAGAAACAGTTGACTGGTATTCTACATGTGTCGTGCTATTCTGTATATAGATTTCCGATTATTCTATCTGTTTTAATTATTACCACTTTTCACTCCGTCCACTGCCTTTAAGTCCTTAGATTTTTTTAAAATTTCCTAGATAAGCAATTTAAAGGCAAACTTAATTTGAATCTTGAGATATCTACCTAAATCTATAGGTAGTATAGATTTTCCATGAGGAAACAAAGAAAGAAATTAAAAGCTGAAGAAACTGTGTATCTATGTACATATCTTTTTATTTAGGATTTCACAAGCTATGGGATTGGGGTTTGAAATAATTCTTTTTAATCTCAGGGATTGCAGAGACCTTCGCTGACGTTTAATATTCGTGGAATGCACACGAAGAAGCACTGGCAGTATGTAAGAAAGCACTTGCCTATGGTATAGTTTTGGGTTTTTTTTTTTTTTTCCTGGGCTATTATATCTTTAAGATATTTGTGAAAATTATCAAATATTTCAAAAAGAAAAAGGTACAAAAAATAACAGCAGACTTCTATGGATCCATTACTCAATTTTATTTATTTATTTTCTGAGACGGAGTCTCGCTCTGTCCCCCAGGCGGGAGTGCAGTGGGGCAATCTCGGCTCACTGCAAGCTCCGCCTCCCGGTTTCCCGCCATTCTCCTGCCTCAGCCTCTGTAGCTGGGACCACAGGCGCCCGCCACCGCGCCCGGCTAATTTTTTGTATTTTTAGTAGAGACGGGGTTTCACCGTGTTAGCCAGGATGGTCCCGATCTCCTGACCTCGTGATCCGTCTCGGCCTCCCAAAGTCCTGGGATTACCGGCGTGAGCCACTGCGCCCGGCCAATTACTCAATTTTAAATGATGCTGTCATTCACCATGTTTTCTTTAGAATTTTCATAAGATATAAAGTTACTTTAGATGTAGTTAAACCTCTACATTATTCATTAATCCCTTTGCCTCACTTCCCCGTTCCTCTGCCAGAAGTAAATATCCTTCTGATGCTGGTGTGACATCTTCTTACGGGTTTTGGTACTTTAAATTATTAAAGACATGAGTAATACATATACCTTTCTTTTCAGTTTAAAAATGTACATGAATAACATCATAAGGTGTAATCTTTTGCCATTTGATTTTTTTAAATTCAACGTTGGTTTTGAATTTTATCCTTATTGATAGACAGAACTAGTTCGTTCATTCCAATAACTGTAAAACAATCCATGGAATGAATACCCCAGAGTTTATTATTCATTCTTTTTATGTTTTTCAACTTTTATTTTAGATTCAGGGGATACACATGCACGTTTGTTATCACGGTATATTGCATGATGCTGAGGTTTGGGTATGAGTGAGTCCAGGTACTGAGCATAGTACCCAGTAGTTATTTTTTCAACCCTTTTGCCCCTCTCCCTATCTCTTCCCTCTAGTAGTCCCCAGTGTCTATTGTTCCCATCTTTATGTCCATGAATACCTAAGGTTTAGCTCCCACTTATAAGTGAGAACATGTGGCATTTCGTTTTCTGTCTCTGTGTTAATTTGCTCAGGATAATGGCCTCCGGTTGCATTCATATTGCTCTGAAGGATGTGATTTCATTTTTTTAATAGCTGTGTAGTATTCCATGATGTATATGTACCACATTTTCTTTATCCAGTCCACCACTGATGGCACCTAGGTTGATTTCATGTCTTTGCTATTGTGAATAGTGCTGTGAATAACATGTGAGTGCATGTGTCTTTTTGGTAAAATCATTTGTTTTCTTTTGAATAAACAGCCAGTAATGACATTGCCAGGTCAAATGGTAGTTCTGTTTTAAGCTCTTTGAGAAATATCCAGACCAATTTCCACAGTGACTGAACTAATTTACATTCCCACCATCAGTATATAAGCATTCTATTTTCTCCACAGCCTTCCAGCATCTATTATTTCTGACTTTTTAACAATAGCCATTCTGCCTAGTGTGAGATGGTATCTTATTGCAGTTTTGGTTTACATTTGTCTGAAGATTAGAGATTTAGACAATTTTTTCATGTGTGTGTTGGCCAAATGTCTGTGTTTCTTGAGAAGTGTCTGTTCATGTATTTTGCCCATTTTTAATGGTGTTTTGTTTGTTTGTTTTTTCAATTGTTTAAGTTATTAACACCAACTGTTTAAGTTTCTAATCAATTCTGGATATTTGACCTTTGTCAGATGCATCGTTGGTGAATATTTTCTCCCATTTTGTATGTTGCCTGTTTACTCTGCTGATAGTTTCTTTTGCTGTGCCAAAGCTCTTCAGTTTAATTAGGTCCCATTTGTCAATTTTTATTTTTGTTGAAATTACTTTTGAGGATTTAGTCATAATATTTTTTCCCCAAACTGATATCCAGAATGGTATTTCCTAGCTTCTCTTCTAGGATTCTTATAATTTGAGGTCTTACATTTAAATCTTTAGTCCATCTTGAGTTAATTTTTGTATGTGGTGAAAGGTAGGGTCCAGTTTCATTCTTCTGAATATGGCTAGCCAGTTATCCCAGCACTATTTATTGAATAGGGATTCCTTTCCCCATTGCTTATTTTTGTTGACTTTGTCAAAGATCCAATGGCTGTAGATGTGCAACTTTATTTCTGGATTCTTTTCTTTTCCATCGATCTATGTGTCTATTTTTGTATCAGTACTCTGCTGTTTTGGTTACTGCAGCCTATGTTTCCATTCTTTTGAGAGGATCAGCTGGGTGGTTCATACCTTTTTTTGTGATTACATACAATACCTCCATGAACCTTCTTGTACATGTCTTCAGGAACACATGTGTGAAGGTTTCTCCAGCTTTGGTTGTGCAATAGAATCAGCTGGAGTGATTGTGACAACACAGATTGCTGGCCCCTCCCGGAGACCTACTGATTCAGATGGAATGTGTGGGTCCAAGAATCTAAATTTCTAACAAACCCTCAGGAGATGCAACTACTGGTGCAGAGGCCAAATTTTGAGAATTGCTCCACTAGAGTTGATATCTATGGGTGAAATATTTGGCCATTGATGTGTATATGTTTTCCACTTTACTAGGAATTTCTAAACTGCTCTCCAGGGTGTTGGTACCAATACAGACCCCCACCATCAGTGTATTCCTATTTCTTACTACCTTGCCAAAAATTAGTGTTGTAAGTCTTTAATATTGTTATCAATCCAAGTGATATCTCTTGTTTTATTACATTTTTTGATTTATGTTGACATTGGGTGTAATTTCTTATATTTAATGGTCTTTGCTTTTTCTTTTCTGTGAGTTACATATACTTTGTTTTGTTCCCCTAGTAAGGCTGTTTATTTATTTATTATATGGTTTGGTATTTATTAATTTTATTGTTTTCTAGAATATCTATGTATTCTGCTTATTAACCCTTAATCTGTTATTTTTCATTTTGTTTCACATATATATGTGTGTGTGTGTGTGTGTGTGTGTGTATATATATATGTATTTTTTTTTTTTTTTGAGACAGAGTCTCCCTCTGTTGCCCAAGCTGTAGTGCAGTGGTGTGAACTCAGCTCACTGCAACCTCCACCTCCTGGGTTCAAACATTCTCCTGCCTCAGCCTCCAGAATAGCTGGGACTAAAGGCGCCCACCACCATGCCCAGCTGATTTTTGTACTTTTAGTAGAGGTGGGGTTTCACCATGTTGGCCAGGCTGGTCTCAAACTCCTGACCTCAAATGATCCACCCACCTCGGCCTCCCAAAGTACTGGGATTATAGGCATGAGCCACTGGGCCTGGCCTGTTTATGATATTTTTGAAGGTGAGAAGTTTAAAAAGTTAATGGAGTGAATATCAATATTTTATTTTGTGATTTTTGCTTTTATAATGTTTTAAGAGATTTTTCCCTACCCTGATGTCATAAAGATATATATTTATATACTAAACATTTCTACTTTTTTCACATTCAGTTTTTAATTTATTTGGAATTTTTAATTTATATATTTTATAAGGTAAAAAGCTGATTTTTGGAGAACCCTGAAGAAACAGAGGGTGTCTTCATTGTATGTGCCTGGGGTCCTGGAGCAATTCTAATCCCTGATCTTTCAGAAGAGGAGCCAAGATGGTTAACTAGACATAGCCAGGAGGAACATCTCCCACCAAGAGACTGAGATGTCAGTAAGACTGGTACACTCTGAGCAGATCTTTGGAGGGAAGGCATTAAGAGTGGATGGAAGGATGATGCAGACACTGGGCTGAAAAGGGAGGAAGCTGGGAACCCTGTATAGGACTACCAAGCACCAGGACTTGTTTTTGGCTCCCTGCTACTCCTGGAAAAGGGGTGAGTTGAACAGGTTAGAAGTGACCTGCTCTTGCCACTAATCTCTGGAATTCAGGCAGCAGGAAACCCCATAACACCCATGGAGAGCTAGCAGGAAGAGCTACTTAGAGTGGTGGTAAGGGCAGGACTCCAGTCTGTGCAGAGCCCAGAGGTTTGGTGCAGGAACATCTGTGAAGAAGCATGGGCAGGGATGCCCATTCCCCAAGGCCTGCCATTCTCCTCTAGGAGATTTAAGCCTTAAGGGGACTGTCAAACCTGCACTGAGCCATGGCATGGTCTTGCTTGTGAAACAGAGTCAGTCTGATATGAGTGACCCCTGTCTGCTGGCCTCTCCCAGGGCCGTAGCCTGGCCATCCATACCTTCTTGCAGCACAATCTTGGATGCCCAACCAGGGTGCTTCCAAGAGGCCTTCATCATAGCTCCTTCAGTGATAGACCTCACTTGACCATGGGAGACCTCCAGCAGACTGGCCTCCATCGACACATACCACAGCCCACCCACACTCACCAATCACTGCAGCCTCCCCAAACCCCCCCCCGCCCTACCACCTTGCTGCATTGTTAGCACACACTCACACACAGCCAATGCCCACTGTTTTGGTGACATACACCCATATGTGGACGTTGCTTCCCTTCCCTCACCAGTGTGCATGGGTGCACACACCCCACTGTGCCACTATCATCAGCACAAGTACACACCACATCCCCTCCCTACCCTGCTGATGTATGGGCACCTGGTCATATTGCCATTGTCTGCAAGAAGGCATGCACAGATACTGGCCCTGCCTCCACTGTGCTGTGGGACTGAACATGCCAGACCCCACTGCTTCTGTTGGAGTGAGTGCAAGCACAGACACCAGCAAGTCAGCCCCAGCCAACTCCCTACTCCTGTCCTTGCCAAGCTCCATGACTGTTGGTGCAAGCAGTATGCCCTTCTCCCACTGTTACCGTGCCCCAGCTGACATGTATGCAGGCAACCACACTACTGTGGCTGCTGGCATGAGTGAGCAAGCATGGATTTCACTTCCCTTGCCCTGACAAAGCATTTTGGCCTGCACCATGCATCAGCACTACCCAACAAACTAGCATCCATTCTGGCCAGCAGATGGGGGATA